AAAAAAAAAAAAAAAAAAAAAAAAAACACCTGGCGAAATACATACACCCATTCCATTTCACAACTCCAAAAAGGTAATGTTCAGCACAGATAGAATCTGACAACAGTCGACCTTCGGGCTTACTCATTTCTCAGCTTAAGCCCGATATCAACAGGGTTAAAGTAAGCTGGAACAAGCAGCTGTAATAAGCGTTAGACTGCGGTGTAGGTGTTTCCCGTGGCGCTGCACTGCCGGATAGTCTGAGTGCTGCTGACAATGTGCTCGCTGTGGATGGGGTTCAGCAGGCTCGGCTGCACGCTGCTCTCCAGCACGGGCTGCATGCAGCCCACCGAGTACGCTGGGGTCAGCTCGGTCTTCTCTCTTTTGGCTTGGGGCTCTGAAGAGTCATCCAGCTCTTCATCCATCTCACTTTCCACTTCGCTGCCCTCATCTGCAGAAACAAACAGTACCAACACTCTTACCCGGAGGCAAAGTGGCCAGCAGCCACCAACGCGTGTGCTTCAGAGACGCTAGGAGACAGTCCACTAGGAGAGCAGCTTCTCAGCTCTTCTCAGGGGACAAGACTTGTAGGTTTTCCTTCCAATGGATTCTACTTGTATCAATGCGCTGCTGGTGTACCCGTATTCCTTTCAAAATGTTGTTGTTAGGTGCCCTCCAGTGGATTCCGACTCATAGGGACCCCATGTGACAGAGCAGAACTGCCCGGTAGGCTTTTCTAGGCTGTAACTTTACGGAAGCAGATCCCCAGCTCTCTCTCCCTTGGAGCCGCTGGGTGGGTTCAAACCGCGGAACTTCTGATCAGTAGCCCAGCGCTTAACTGTTGTGCCACCAAGGCTCCTTCCTTTCAAACACAGCGAAGATAATTTATTTTTGGCTAATCTGTGATGGGTGCCTTCAACAGTTCTTTTAAGAAGCCCTCTGGGACGTCTGAGAGCTACTATGCTGAATTGTGGCCTAACTTTTGCTGTTATAACGTAGCTGCTCTGGGACGCTACGCTGACTTGCGGGGAATGCACTGAGCTGGAAAATGCTAACTAAAAAAAAAAAGTTCTCCGAGACCGCCTAAAAAGTTTACGCTGGACCTAAATTTCATCTGTGCTGGTGTTAACATATGCTGATTCGCAAATAACCTGCACGGATAAGCAGGGGCTGCTGTCCAGACTTTTTAGTGCACAACAATGCCGCAGACTATAATATTAAGGAGCCCTGGTGGCACAGTGGTTAAGAGCTACGGCTGCTGATCAAAAGGTGGACAGTTTGAATCTACCAGCCACTCCTTAGAAACCCTATGGGGCAGTTCTACTCTGTCCTATAGGGTTGCTATGAGTTGGAATCGACTCGATGGCAACGCGGTTTTGGTTTTTAATTTTTATTACAAAAAATCATGAAGACCAAAGTGGCAGTATCAGATTAAAAATGTACAATGAATTTGCCTTCCTAGCAACGCTGATGCTCACTGTTAATAGCCAGTATTCGTTCCTGGACATTGATGTATTAAACAGTCACTGTTATCCCTCAGTTTTAATACATTTTATATTAACTAAAATGGCATTATAATAGAATCCCATTTCATTTTTTCCAGCGCGCACTGTTAGAATTCAAAAGTGCATACAGAAAGAAAATGCCCACGTATAGCTTTACCACGGCGTGACAGTCTCCCCAGAACGCTGTGGAGGGTACCTTATCATAAGTGATAATTTTCAAACAGTGGGGAATGTATTTTTGCCTTAATCATCTTTTTACTTTATCTTTTAAATCACTAAAGAAACATTTCAACATATTTGATTACTTATCAGAGAGAGAGAAAAACCATATAATCAACATGGCGGCACATGGTTAAGCGCTCGGCTGCTAATCAAAAGGTTGGCGGTTCGAACCCACCCAGAGGCTTCATGGGAGAAAGACCTGGTGACCTGCTCCTATAAAGATGCCAGCCAAGAAAACCCTATGGGGCAGTTCTACTCTGTCACATGGGGTTGCTATGAGATGAAAATCTACTTGATGGCACCCAGCAACAACTTAACTAAATATATATCTCTACTTACGGTTAGATTTGACTTCTTGTATTGACTCACGTAAGCAGAATCAGATCTCTATTATATTAAATTCTCTGGTATAGCAGGCACAGTGAGGGTGCAGCAAGCACGCCTTCCGTCAGATTCAGTTGGGCTCTCTGTAAGCAGTGTGGGGTCTAGTTTCACCACCTGGGGCACAGCTACAGCAGCGATCGCTGCTCATGCAGCTCGCCACATCAACGGGCTCCTAACTCTTCTCCTATCACCACCTGGGGCAAAGATGGCTCCAAACAGTGATGTGGGGAGCAGCAGGACTGCCAGGTAGGGTTGTGCAGGTTGCGCGTTGTGCAAGCTCGTGAGAAATGGTGTGTGTGATTATAAAGGTTGAGATGAGCACCTATTGACTAGAAATGATGTCTGTAACGTGTCAATAAGTGAAAAACAAAGAAATGCTCGCAGATAAGGCTAAAGACCACCTTGGCCCATCTACTTTATGCAATTACTGGTTTGCCTCTGGAAAATGAACTTGATAATTAATTACAGTCTGTACATTCAAAGGCAAAGAGGGAGCAGGAAGTGCCGTACATTAGGTCGACATTGTTTTGTCAAGAAGAGTATAACTGAAAGATGCTTGTATGATACTTTGTGGTTTTGTTTTCACATCTGTTTACATATATAAACAAAAAATGTCTAGAAGGATTCCCACGCCAGACTCTGATGGTGTAGTCTCTTAAGGGATGTGACTAAAGAGTTTCCCTTTCTATAGGTTTTAGTTCTCTGTATTTGGGATGGTCAATGTTACGTGCCAACTTGGCGAGGCTAAGATTCTCGGTGGTTTGGCAGACACTATGTAATCACCTCCCATTTTGTGATCTGATGTGAGCAGCCAGTCAGTTGAAGGGGAGTTTCCTTGGGGTATGGCCTGTATTCATGATACAAACCAATGTTCTGGCAAAGCTTACTCTATGGACCCTGCAGTCTTCTCAGCGTCTGACCTCTGGTTCTTGGGGTGGAAGCCTGCAGAGGCCTCCAACCTGCTGCCTGACCTGCAGATTTTGGATTTGCCAGCCCCTGCAACCACGTGAGCCAGCAGAGGTCATTAGCCTGTTGTCTGACCCACAGATTTGGGACTTGCCAGCCCTCATAATCACGTGAGCCATTTCCTCACAGCTTCGTGAGTCATTTCCTTGAAGTAAATTTCTCTCTCTACATATACGTATCTATATACACTTCACTGGAGACCTCAGTGGTGTAGTGGTTAAGAGCTCGGCTGCTAACCAAAAGGTCAGCAGTTCAAATCCACCAGCCGCTCCTTAGAAACCCTATGGGGCAATTCTACTCTGTCCTATAGGGTCACTATGAGTCAGAAATGAATCGATGGCATCTGACAACAACAACAACAACATCCGCTTCACTAGTTTTGTTCCTCTGGAGAACCCACTCTAAGACAGTATTACTTGAGATTTTTCTATAGAGCCAATATTTTACTATCAGGAAAGAAAATTTTCATTTTGTGGAGAAAAATCCTCAAAAACTCCTGAGATTTTGCATTCAATCATTAGTTCCTGAACATGCCTGTCTGGCCATAGGTTAAGAGGCACTGGGTCTCGGGTGAATGGGCCCCACAGGCCACACCACAGGGAGTGAGGGGGAGGGAAAAGCACACTGCTTCTCTGCTGCTCTCCACCAACGTTCCCGCATCTCAGAAATAGTGTTAGAATAACAAGAGGCAACACTGAAAGGGAAAAATCATTTCCAAGCCAGCGGGAGAGTGGAGAGGGAAATAGGAGATGGGAAAGTCCTTCCATCTACCTCGTTGTGGATGGAAACAGCAGTGGGATAATGGGCAGAACTAAACTTAAGTGCACTAGTCAATTTACTTAGGGTCACTTGTGGAGACAGGGTTCCTTTGGGTAGACTATAAAGCAATCGCCCAAAAGCAAGTTCCTTCTCCAGTTCCTAGGGACAAATTAACGCACCTACAATTCCACAGACATTCTCTGGTTGTTGTCGTGTGCCATCGGGTCAATTCTGACTCATAGCGACCCTACAGGACAGAACAGAACTGCCCCAGAGGGTTCTCTAGGCTGAAATCCTTATGGGAGCAGATTGCCAGGTCTTTTCTCCCAGGGAATGGCTGGTGGGTTTGAACCACTGACTTCTTGGTTAGCAGCTGAGTGCTGAACCACTCAACCTCGTTTCCCCTCAAGCCCTGTTCTTTTTACCACGTGATTTTAAAGATCATGTGGTTCTTCAGGACTGCATGACGTATGATCATATTAGAATGGTAATGCCTGTATTAAAATTTAAGAGGTGTACATGTTACCTTTCCATCTATGCCCCTACTGACCTTACTTTTACAGTAAATTTATTTTTTTAACTTTATTTTGTTGTTTTTGTTGAGAGAATACACAACAAAACATGTATCAAGTCAACGGTTTCTACATGTACAATTCAGTGACGTCGATTACATTCTTCAAGCTGTGCAATCATTTTCACCCTCCTTTTCTGAGTCGTTCCTCCTCCATTAATATAAACTTTCAAGGTGCTATTGTCAATCTGATCCCATATAGAGAGTTTTTCAAAGAGCATAATGCTCAAGGCAGACATTCTTTACTAGTTTAGCCAAACTATTGTTTGGTTTTAAGAAGACTTCAGGGGATATTTTTGGTTTCAAGTTCACAGATGATCTCAGGGCAATAGTGTTGGGGGTTCATCCAGCCTCTGTGGCTCCAGGAAGTCTGGATATAGTACATTTCATTATCATCTCTGAGTTCTCTTTCTACTGAAGGTGTGAACTGGTGAGGTGGGGAGGCTCAAGGCCTGGGTGCCTGACCTGGTGGACCTTGAATAAAACTGTTAGGCCTAGTTTTATCACTTTCCTCCAGGACTCTAGCCATGGTCAAAAATAGTTTCTTGTTACTTTCTGTGATTAATTTCAGGCAATAAGCTGAAAGGGTTTGAAAATGCATTTAGATTCAATTCTCTGCATTTAGTAGGCCCCACGTAAAGAAGGCAGGGGTGGAGTAGAAAGAAGAGTAATGAAGGATTACAAAGGACGCAAATGTCACCCTCACCTGGATTGTATGCCGCTTCCACAGCATAGAGGGCTGTACCATTCACCACATTTCCTCCTACGAGAATTTCTCAGTTAAAGAAGAAAACAGACTTAGAAGTGTACGCTACTTTCAATCCTTACCTTTATCCAGATTTCCAGGAGACACGGCATTTAAATCACCGAACTGCAAAACAACAGTCATTTGTGCAATAGTTACTATCAGGCAGAATAAAATAACATTCTATCAGTCTGTGGTAAAAATGCCACATAGTACTTTGTAAAACTGGAAACTAATGACCATTTTGAACTCTGACTACACGGGTCATATTATTTCCCCATCAAACTTGTCGAATTTGAACAGTTCAAACTATGTCACAATTTAGCTGTCTTAGACTCTTTGCAAAAGGATAACAATTTTCCCTGCCTTCCATGCTCCATTTTCCCTTTTATTATTTCCACTTAGCAATGAAGAAGTAGAGGCATGTTACCCAAATGACCAGTGGGAGGAGGGGTGGTGGAATACATTTGGAAAAGCTCCAATCAAGAGGCCGTGTAAGCCCCAGTCCCCAGGACTGGCCCAGGAGTCCACTTGGAGTTTCCAGATTTGAGAAACACAGTTCAACTGTTTGGTTGAATGCAGTTTTTAAAGTTTTTATTAGTACAATTGAAAAAACTAGAATCCCAGGTTAAGTGTATTTATTTTTTACAAAAGCTTTCATTTGAGACTTTTATCTTGTTGACTGATGCCCTTATTTGCTAAGGTAGCAGGGTCCCATTTTAAAAACGAAGGGCAGGTAGGGTCAAGATGGCAGAGTAGTCAGACGCTTCCTATGGTCCTTCTTACAATAAAAATCCGAAAAAACAAATGAATCAGTTATATATGACAATCTAGGAGTCCTGAACATCAAAGGCAAAGTTAACAAATTGGACTGAGTGGCAGGGGGAAGGAGAGATGGTTCGGAAGCAGCGAGGAGTTGCCAGACCTGACCTGGTGGGAGCCCATACCCTTCAGGCCGGATTGGCTGGCGTGCGCAGTGAGGCAAGCAGGGGCACTCAGGAGGCGTTTTCCACATTGGGAGGGACTGGGTGGCAGAGAGTCTCCTCAGGCCTTCAGAACCAGTGAAAAGTGGCACTCAATCAGCAAAAGATAAGTACATGCATCTGACCTACCGTGTGGATCAAAAGACACCTCCTTTGGGAAAAACCTCTTTCCCATTTACCTGCCTCCTTCCCGCTATGCACTGGGTCCCAGGCCAGCTTCAGTGACTGCCAAGTCCCCTGGGCCGGAAGTAGGACCCGTCACATGCCCTGAGCCATTCTCCTGGCCTTGGAAAGGAACAAATTAACAAACAGGAAAAAATAATCTGCCAGCTCCCCGAAGCCAGTAACTCAGGGCAGGCACGGCTCCTTTGCCTAGGCACAGGCATAAGGGGTCCACGGACTTCAAATGCCTTCCACCCCGCATAGACCTGTGTGGGCCCATTTCAACAGCTTAGGCCCTCATTACCACAGTACAACAAGGTATATACCTGAAGCCTAACTTCCAATGGTATCAGCTATAGGGTGAAGTGGCAGGTTCATGACATTTGACACTGTTGTGCCCATTAAGCAGGGTCTTCAGCTACCCACATTGGGGCCTGAGGACTGGTGGCTCCACCCACACCACCTAGCAACCTGTGACAGGGGTCCAAGAATAAGTGGTGCCTCCCAGTCCTTACAGCCAACAGCACTGGGTGCCCACAGTCCTGCTGCAAAACCCACCCACCTATGCGTTCCAGGGAACAGGGACACGCTTTCCTCCCAGACACTCAGGGGCAGCCATCAGCCTCCTGCCTTGCTCAGCCCATGACCCCCTACTGCAGCCAGATACCTGTGCCTACAACAATCACCCCTGCCTGTCTAGGACTGTAGGTGAGAGCCTGCACCACACACTTGGTGACTGACTATTGGGACACCTGAGATGAATACATACAAGAAAAGTAAACAAACTCCTGGGCTCACATACCTAGTAACAGATCTAACTACCAGGTAACAGGACGTTAAAGCTCCAAAGGCCCCAATAATTAAACTAGCTCACACGAGCAGCCTATTTGTGCCTATCAAAACAAAACAAAACAAGAAGCTAGGACACAGTAAGCAAACATAAAATAAATAAATATAATAACTTATTGATGGCTCGGAGACAACAGTCAATATCAAATCATATAAAGAGGCAGACCATGATGGCTTCAGCAAGCTCCCAAAACAAAGAATCAAGAAATTTTCCAGAGGAAGAAAACTTCTTGGAATTACCAGAGGTAGAATACAAAAGATTAATATACAGAACTCTTCAAGATATCAGGAAGGAGATAAGGCAAAACACAGACAATCCAAGGAACACAGAGATGAAGTAATAGAGGAACTCAAGAAGATTAGAGAAAAGCATAATGACAAATTTAACAGGCTGCAAGAATCCATAGAGAGACAGCAAACAGAAATCCAGAAGATTAATAATAAAATTTCAGAATTAGACAACTGAATAGAAAGTCAAAGGAGCATAAATGAGGCAACAGAAGTCAGAATCAGTGACATTGAAGATAAAGCACTTGACACCAACTTATTTGAGGAAAAATCAGATAAAAGAATTAAAAAAAAAAAAAAGAAGAAACCTAAAGAATGATGTGGGACTCTATCAAGAAGAATAATCTATGAGTGATTAGAGTACTAGAATCGGGGGATAACAGAAAATACAGAGAGAATTGTTGAAGATTTGTTGGCATAAAACTTCCCTGATATTGTGAAAGATGAGAAGATATCTATCCAAGATGCTCATCAAACCCCACCCAAGGTAGATCCCAAAAGAAAGTCACCAAGACATATTATAATCAAACTTGCCAAAACCAAAGATAAAGAGAGAATTTTAAGAGCTTCTAGAGATAAACGAAAAGTCACCTACAAAGAAGAGTCAGTAAGACTAAGCTTGGACTACTCAGCAGAAACCATGCAGGCAAGAAGGCAATGGGATGACATATATAAAGCCTTGAAGGAAAAAAAAAACTGCCAGCGAAGGATTATATATCCAGCAAAACTGTCTCTCAAATATGATGGTGAAATTAGGACATTTCCACATAAACAGAAGTTTAGGGAATTTGCAAAAACCAAACCAAAATTACAGGAAATACCAAAGGGAGTCCTCCGGTTAGAAAATCAATAACATCAGAGAACAACCCAAGAGTAGAACACAGGACAGAGCAACCAGATATCAACCCAGATAGGGAAGTTACAAAAATAAAGCTGAAACACTGAAAATAGGGAAAGAGAGACATCAATATGTAAAAGATGACAACATTAACACAAAAAAGAGGGACTAAAAAATGTAGTCATAGATCTTTCATATGGAGAGGAAGACAACGCAATACAAAGAAATAAAAGAGTGCTTTAAACTTAGAAAAATAGAGGTAAATATTAAGGTAACTACAAAGCACACTAACAATCCTACACATCAAAATAAAAAACAAGAAAAACATAAAGACTCAACAAATACAAAATCAACAACAATGAAAAAGATGAAGAGAAAATATATAAAGAAAAATGACTCAGCACAGAAAATTAAGTGGAACAAAGAAACTTTCAACAACATAAAAAAAAAAGACATCAAAATGACAGCATTAAACTCATACCTATCAATAATTACATTAAATGTAAACGGACTAAATGCATCAATAAAGAGACAGAGAGTGGAAGAATGGATAAAAAAAAAAACACAATCCATCTAAATGCTGCCTATAAGAGACACATCTTAAAGACACAAACAAAGACTCAAAGGATGGAAAAAAATATATCAAACAAACAACAATCAAAAAAGAGCAGGAGTGGCAATATTAATCTCTCACAAAATAGACTTTAAAGTAAAATCCACCACAAAGGATAAGGAAGGACACTATATAAATATTAAAGGGTCAATACACCAGAGGGACATAACCATAATAAATATTTATGCACCCAATGACAGGGCTCCAAAATACATAAAACAAACTCTTAACAGCACTGAAAAGAGAGATAGACAGCTCCACAATAATAGTAGGAGACTTCAACACACCACTTTCGGTGAAGGACAGAACATCCAGAAAGAAGCTCAATAAAGCCATGGAAGATCTAAATGCCACAATCAACCAACCTGGTCTCATAGACATATACCAAGCACTCCATCCAACAGCAGCCAAGAATACTTTCTTTTCCAATGCACATGAATAGTCTCTAGAGCAGACCACATAATAGGCCATAAAGCAAGCCTTAACAGAATCCAAAGCACTGAAAAATTACAAAAATTCTGACCATAAAGACATAAAAGTAGAAATTAATAAAATTAATAAAAAAAATCAAACACATGGAAACTGAACAACATCTTGCTTAAAAACTACTGGGTTATAGAAGAAATTAAGGATGGAATAAAGAAATTCACAGAATCAAATGAGAATGAAAACACATCCTACCAGAATCTTTGGGACACAGCAAAAGCAGTGCTCAGAGGTCAGTTTATAGCAATAAATGCTCACATCCAAAAGGAAGAAAGGACCAAAATCAAAACATTAACCCTACGATTCGAACAAGTAGAAAGAGAGCAGCAAAAGAAGCCCTTGGGCACCAGAAGAAAGGAAACAGTAAGAATTAGAGCAGAACTAAATGAGAATAAAAAACAGCTGAAAGGGTTAACAAGCCCAAAAGGTGCTTCTTTGAAAAGATCCACAAAATTGATAAACCATTGGCCAAACTGACACAAGAAAAAAAGGAGAGGAAGCAAATAACCCGAATAAGAAATGAGATGGGCAATATCACAACAGACCCAACTGAAATTAAAAGAATCATACAAGAATACTATGAAAACTATACTCTAACACATTTGAAAATCTAGACAAAATGGACAAATTTCTAGAAACTCACTACCTACCTAAACTAACACAAACAAAGGTGGAGCAACTAAATAAACCTATAACAAAGAAGAGATTGAAAAGGTAATTAAAAAACTCCCAAACACCAACAAAAAAAGCCCTGGCCCTGATGGTTTCAGGGGAGAATTCCACCAAACTTTCAGAGAAGTTAATACCACTACTACTAAAGGTATTTCAGAGCATAGAAAACAATGGAATACTCCCAAACTCATTCTATGAAGCCAGCATAACCCTGATACAAAAACCAGGTAAAGAC